GAAAATTGGCCCATGTCCTGGTTCAAACATGGTCAAATCCTTTAACACCACTTGGTGGTCCTGGTTTGGGGGTAGTTGGTGGAAAAAACTCCTGTTGTTTGCTAATAGCTTTTAGTGGGATTATTTTACTTCCTATATGCATACCTTGTATAATTCAATTAGTTACTAAGTTAGTAAAAGATAGCATTGCTAAAATGATTACTACTGCCTCTGAAAATACTAGAATGTTGCTTTTGCAGGGACAGGGTTGGGTACCTATTGCAGCATCAGAACAGGATGATCCTGATAGGAATGAAGGAGAGTTACCATGAAGTGTGTGAGATGATGTTACAAAATTTTGAAGAGAACTCAGTAAGATAAAAGCGGAGGGACTGAGTGAGACAATGTAAACAGTGTGAGATCTCTCAGATGGACTGAGTGTAACAGTTTTGTAGACTGTTACAAACTGAAGGTTAGGTTACTAGCCTGAATAGGCCCAAGTTTCAAGTTCCTGGAAAACACATGATCCGTACTGGCACATTAGGTCATGGCTAATGCCAAATAACGATAAAATAGCTAAGATTGCTAGTATTTTAATGAGATTTCTTGTTTCTGTGGTAGATTTTCACATTTTAGATAGTAAGGCTGAAATTGCTGTCCAATGGGAATTTACAGCCAGTGGTGGGTGGGTGTCTTTGAGTTAGGACTATATGACCTTTGTTCTGACCTTTGTGCTTCGCCTCACCAGGTGGTGGCAAGTCCCTCCTGCCCATTGTTCTGGCTGGATGAGCAAGTTTCACGCTGTCCTCTGAGTAACACACGGCTGCCTACCCTCCAGATGTGATCTTTTTTGTTTTTTCACTTTGTTTCCTTGTTTTCAATCACATCTGCCTCTTTGTAACCCCATTTGAGGTTTTCTTAGCAAAGATACTGGAGTGGTTTGCCATTTCCTTCTCCAGCTCATTGTACAGATGAGGAAACTAAGGCAAACAGGGTGAAGTGACTTGCCCAGGGCACACAGCTAGTGTCTGAGGCCACGTTTGAACTCAGGAAGATGAGCTTTCCTGATTCCAGGCCTTGCACTGTATTCCCTACACCACATGACTGCTCCTGTTTTTTGGTTCACTCGTGTTCAGTCACATCTGACTCATTGTGACCTTTTTGGGGTATCTTTCTTCCCTTCACCCTATTGGTGGGGAGTCCCTACCTCCCCAGGTGTACCCCATTGGACATAGTTGCCCAGAGCCATGCTTGATTCTGAACTGAAGGGAATTCTTTGACATTAAAAACCAGCTTTGAATTTGTAAATGGGTTTTTTAATATTTTTTTGTCTTTAAATGCTATTACTTGAACAATACTTATACATTTTGTCTATGAAGACATCTGATAGCTTAACAATTTATCTACTACCACTCAACATGAAAGATTAAATTGGAGAAGTCAGAAAGAATCAAAATACAACAACATAAGAGCAAATACAAGTGTAACAAGCAAATATTTGCCATCATATGGTGGATATGATCTCATTATCACATTTAGTAGCAGTTAATACTTAAGTTTTTTGCTTTTTTTGTTTGTTTGTTTTTTACCATCAAGCACTAATGACAACTTGAAGAACAGTAAACTCCTGGCTTTAGAAATTGAGGCTCCTTTCTTTTTTCAAACTTTAAAGACATATCTGAAGTCACTGAAGGTGGAAAGATGGCAGGGCAAGAAAGACTTACTCTCTTTTCCACACCAAAAACAAATCCTAAAATGATGGAATCCTTTGGGGAGGATGGCATTGGTCCCCAAAGCCGGAATGATCAATTGACACTAGGTCCATTTCAACTCTTTGCCTAAGGCCTAAAGCTCATTTTTTTTAAAAAGCCAGCTCAATCCTCACAGAAAGGGGAGCCAGTGTCGCCAGGACCTTATTCAGGAAATGCAAAGGGAAATCACTTGACCACTCGCCAGATTCATCCTCCACCTTGTTATAAACCCACTTGCGATTCTGGCGGCACTTGACTCCACATTTCCTGGAGTTGCACCTGGGGCATGGATAGAAGCAGCCAGCACAATCAACCTGCAGGCAGTCACACAGATCGATACCATTACAGATCAGCCTGCCTTTCTGGTCATACTTTCTCCTTTTTTCTTGGGCCCCATGAATATTTGGGGTGGTAAGGAAACACATCAGGCGTCTGCCTAGGTGCTGGGCCAGGGTTTGCAGCAGCTCCCTGGGGCTCCTCTTCCTCCTGGATTTCAGAATCGGCAACTGCTGCCTGGGCTACTGCATTTCTCCCCTTGGAGAACACACCTGCTGCTTGCTTCTCTGCCATCTCATCAACTTCTCTTGGTGATATTGGACTCTTCACTGTGCATTTCAATGTCTGCATTCATTTTCGATAATTGGTTGCAGGATCCTTCTCCTCTCTGCTTTGGGGTGAGCTCCTGGATCTTAAGAATGATAGCACAGAACACATCATCACTAAAAGCATACGAGTGTGACGGCAAAGCTGATTCAGAGGATGCTAATGCCACAAACTTTGGAAAAACAACATTTGAAAGATTATTTTAATTTTTAAAACATTGCTATGTCTCCTGTGAAAATTCAACATAACCATCATCATGAGCTGGACATTAGTTGATTTTCAAACTTCCTAAAAACTCTCATCAGCTGATGATCAATGATTGAAAAGACACCACGTGCAATTCTAGCCTGAAGATAATGTAAAGAGCAAAGTTTTGATGCGTATAGGACAGCTTTCACATGGCCCCAGAAGAAAAAAATCGCTAGTAGAGATAGATCAGTTAATCAAGGTGGCAAAGGAAGAGAATCCCCTTTGCTATCCACAGCTCTGAGAAAGTAGCATCCATAATATGTTAAATGCAATTTGACATTACAGGATGCTCTCATTATGTCAAAATTTAAATGAAAAATTTGTTATTCAAAATTCACAAAACCACATGAGTGTAAAAGAAACTTTAAAATATCAAAGTATTTTTTTTAAAGTTTGTAGCATTTATGCATCTGAAGTTATTAGAGCCTAAATCTGCACTAAGAACTTTGGGACAACCTGCATGTAGCCAAAAGGAGACTCTGAGATTTTTGTGCTAGCAGAAGGGATAGAACCAGAAAGAAGACTGTGTACATATATGTGCATGCAAACCCATCTCTATAAACATGGGTAGAACATGAGAGGAGAGCATTGCCCTGAGCCAACTGCTTCCTTTTCCACTAAGAAACCATTGGGGTTTTCAGAGTGAGAAGTTAGGGGTCAAGGACAGGGAAGGGTGTTGTCTCATCCCCAACTTACAGAGGGCAGTCACGAGTCCCTGTGGTGCTGGTTCTGCACTGTTAGGCTCATAGAAGGGGCAGCCACTTGATGTGTAGGCGATGATCCAGAAAGAGGCCTCTTTGGGTAGGAAGAGGAATGGGCTTTCACCAGGGCCTAGGTACCACACAGAATTTTGACTCAGAAACACAAATACAGGAGGGAAAAACTGGGAACAAGTAAGCAGACTTGATTGTTAGGGAGACGTTTCCTGAAAGTGCAGCTTTCCTTTCTGTGTCCAGGCAGCCCCCTCTTTGTAGGCCCAGGCATCTCCCCCACTCACCTGTACCCAAGCGATGGCCCTCCTTCAGGGCCGGAAGTCTTTGCCCGCTCATTCCCGGGTTCCTAAACAAGATGCCATGTGGGCAGTGACTGAGGGAGGTGGCAGAGGCAAGGAGGACAAGGAGAAATCTCTGCCAGGGAGTGTTTAAATTTTTTTAAAATGCCCAAGTCCTGGCCTGGAAGGATGGGCCCTCTCCTGGATACTTGGGTGGGGGGGAGGCCTGGTGGTGTAGCCATTTCTTGGGGGGGGTCATCCAGAAGACCCACCTGTCCTCCAGGTCACCATCTGGCATGACACTTGACCTATTTAATTCTTATCTTTATGAGCTCTGGGATAATCGAGAATCTGCGTTAACTAATAACTTCTTGAATTAGTCTCCATGAATCAGCTAAGCTCAAAATTCCCTCATCAAATATTATATTATATTAGTTATTATATGGTATTGAACATATTAAATACCCTACAGAAACCACCCTTCCCCATTTATGATTAGTTACAGGCCCCCACGGCCACGTGGTAAAGGCGTCAGCAGGCCTAAGAGGCCCAAGGCAGCAACTCACACTCAGACCCCTGATGAAAGATAACCATAGCGAATTCAGTGCCTTCAGAAGCTCCTTATGGGGCCCTCTACCCCCAGACCCCAGACCCTTGGCCCTCCCACCTAGAGGATGGAGAAGGATAAGAAATGAGGCTTACCTCTATCAGGAGACCCTCAGACACACCCTGCCTTGAGGTCTCTCAAGGACAGAAAGGAAGGAGCCTGCTCTGTCCCTAGGGATAAAGGGATGCAGTCAAAGGCACAGGAAGGGGCAGAGAGGGGAGGAGGAGAGGGTCAGAAGGGCACCACAGGGAGGGAGAGGACCACAGGGGGAGGAGCAGAGATGGCCAGAGGTGCTGCTCTGCCCCCTAAGGGTGAAGGAGAGGGAATGGGAAAGTGCAGAGAGAGGGGGAGGGGAGGGCCAGAGGAAAACCCACATGGAGGGAGAGGAGCAGAGGGGGAGGAGCAGAGATGCCCAGGGGTGCTGCTGTGCCCCCTAGGGATAAGGGGATGCAGGAGAGGGCACGGGAAAGTGCAGAGAGAGGGGGAGGGGAGGGCCAGAGGGGCACCCACAGGGAGGGAGAGGAGCAGAGGGGGAGGAGCAGAGAGGGTCAGAGGTGCTGCTCTGTCCCCTAGGTATAAAGGGATTTAGGAGAGGTAATGGTAAGGTGTAGAGAGAGGGGGCAGGGAGGGCCAGAGGTGCACCTACAGGGAGGGAGAGGAGCAGAGGGGGAGGAGCAGAGAGGTGCAGAGGTGCTCCTTTGCCCCCTAGGTATAAGGGGAAGCAGGAGAGGGAATGGGAAAGTGCTGAGAAAGGGGGAGGGGAGGGCCAGAGGGGCACCCACAGGGTGGGTGAGGAGCAGAGGGGGAGGAGCAGAGAGGGTCAGCGGTGCTGCTCTGCCCCCTAGTGATAAAGGGATTTAGGAGAGGTAATGGTAAGGTGCAGAGAGAGGGGGAAGGGAGGGCCAGAGGTGCACCCACAGGGAGGGAGAGGAGCAGAGGGGGAGGAGCAGAGGGGTGCAGAGGTGCTCCTTTGCCCCCTAGGTATAAGGAGATGCAGGAGACGGAATGGGAAAGTGCTGAGAAAGGGGGAGGGGAGGGCCAGAGGGGCACCCACAGGGTGGGAGAGGAGCACAGGGGGAGGAGCAGAGAGGCCCAAGGTGCTGCTCTGCCCCATAGGGATAAGGGAATGATGGAGAGGGAATTGGAAAGTTCAGGGAGAGGGGGAGGCTAGGGCAAGAGGGCACCCACAAGGAAGAGAGGAGCAGAGGGGTAGGAGCAGAGAGGCTCAGAGGTGCTGCTCTGCCCCTAGCAGGGGCAAGATGGAGTTAGGCTGGAAGGGGCCTCACAAGGTCATATTGGAAAACCTCCTCCTTTTACAGGGGAGGAAATTGAGGCCCATGGCAGGGAAGGGGCTTCATGGTCATGCATAAGATCATACATCTAGCTCCCAAAGCAGGTGACACTGCCCCCTGGAGGGCGCTGGAAGGATCCAGGGGGATGGTACTAGCGTAGGGTGCAATTGGGGGGCACTGAATAAAAATAAGGAGGCAGTGGAAACATAAAAAAGAAGTGCATTGTTTTCGTTTTTGTTTTTTTTATGAGGTAATTGGGGTTAAGTGGCTTGCCCAGAGTCACACAGCTAGTGAGTGTTATGTGTCTGAGGCCTGATTTGAACTCAGGTCCTCCTGAGTCCAAGGCCGGTTCTCTATCTACTGTACCACCTAGCTGCCCCAAGAAGAAAATTTTGAAAAACCACTGGTACATGTTTCATCTGTTGTGTAACAGAGTTATAGTCATAGGGATTACATTATTTTCCAAATAAACACAAAAAATGCAAGTCATAACTGATCAGCGGTAAAGTCCACTGACAGGTTTGAACAAGTAAGTGTTGGCAGGTGAGGATGTTGAACAATGTCAGGAAGTCCAGCAGGCATCTGAGGAAAATGTGTATTTAACAACTTGTTTACAATATACTGTATGGTGATACGGCACAATATGTATCACCAAAATTTCAATGCAGGGAAAAAAAGTGAATTTAAACTGAATTACTAAATTTTAAATGCATCATTTTTTTAGGAAAATTTTTTACATTTTTTTTAAATGATGCAAGTTTTAAAAAAAAATATAAAGGTTAAGAAAAATAGATTTCCGGTGGGGGGGGGGCACTGAGTAATTTATTTTTTTTTGAAAAAGGGCCAGTAAGCCAAACAATTTTGGAGACATTTGACGAAGAACTTGACCAGACCTAATGGTCATCTTTTAAACCCCTTCATTTTACAGAGGAGGAAAGTGAGGTCTAGAGAGGTCAAATAATGAGCTATGGTGATTCAGGGAATTAGGCAGAGACAAGATTGGAATCCATTTGTAGTAATGAGAGAGACAGCGACAGAGAGACAGAGACAGGGACAGAGAGAGAGAGACAGACACAGAGAAAGAGGGAGAGACAGACAGACAGAGAGACACATGTACACAGAGCCTATTAGAGAATTGATGATGCCTGCCACTCCACTCCCCCAAACTGGGAATCCCCTTCACACTGAATACATGTTGCTGCAGCCTCAGCTGTGGGCCAGAGGTTAGGGCCACAGGGCTCACTTGCCCTCTAAAAGAGATTGGAAATTTTTTTTTTAAAAAAGCGGAGAAATATTGGACTGGGATAAAGCAGCTCTCGCCTGTTCTCACAGAAGCCACCTCCTCCACTCAGTGGCACAGCCCTTTGCTAGATGCTCTCCCATCTATGTACTTACTAACAAGCTCTCCCTCAGTGCTGCCAGGCTCCCAGACACTGAACTAGGCACCAAGATCCGCATACAGAAGGGAAACAGGACCCGCCCCCAAGGCCCTTCCATTCTCCCATGGGGATGCTCTGGCAAAGAGAAATAAAGACAAACATTCCTCCCTGCACTCCTCCTCTGGGGGAAGGGAAGGAGGCCACTTGCGAGCCTCCTCCTGTCCAGGTAAGAGGGGCACAACTGCTAGTTACTCTCTTGGGGAGCATGAACACAGGCCTGGCATTTTGGCCCCTTTCTGTCCCCAAGGGTTGGGTGACATTGGGCAGCACATTGACCTTTTTAATTTGTTAATGTGCCTCAGTTTCCTAACCTTTCAAAAGGGAGACTTTGCCTATGAAAGGAAACCTTCTGGCTATAAAATGCCATGACTTCTGAACGCAATTTTACTCTTTTAAATGACACAACTTTATAGTGGTATCTTCTCTTTGGTAATCAGTTAAGTCTGTCTTCTTTTCTATAATCAATCAGCAAGTCCTCATGAAGCACCTACTATGTGCCAGGCACTGTGCTAAGCTCTGCTATTGCAGAGGACACAATCCCTACTCACAAGGAGATAATATTCCAATGGGGATGACAAAATACTTCTAACAATAATAATAATAATATCCACAGTATAACTACAAAGAGTATAAATACATATAAACACATACATACATATATAGCAGTTGGGGAAAGAGGACACTAGCAGGTGGGGGTGGGAATCAGGAAAGGCTTCATGGGGAGTGCATTGCAGGCATGGGGGACAGCCAGCGCAAAGGCATGGAGGTGGGAGATGGGGTGTTGTGAGTGAGGAACACAGAGGGGAGCCAGTTTGGTGGAAAAAAGGGTGAAGGAAACTAAGGATTTGAAGAGGCAGAGGTGAACAACGTTTACATTTCAGGCAAGGCAGTACGTACAAAAGCCTGGTGAAGGTAGATGAGAGGCTGGGTTCAAGGAACGGCTACCAGGCCAGGCTGGCTAGAGTATACAATGAATACAGGAAAGTAATAGAAAATATGCCTTGAAAGTTTGGTTGGAGTTACTTGGGAAAGGCTTTAAAGGAATGAATAAAAAAAAGCATTCATTAATCACTTACTCCATGCCAGGGAATGTGCTCAGTGCTAGGAATACAAACACAAGGTTGAGATGGCCCTTGCCCACAAGGAGCTGATATTCTAATGGGGAAGACAAAACATGGAGGGAAGTGGTAGCTAAGGAAGGGAATTTTGGTCTAAGTCAACAAGGATGGCGAAGTTATCCATTGGGCAGCCAATTAAGAAGATATCCTTTCCTGAAGCAATGTTGGTTTGATGCAAACCTGAAGCAAAATTGGTATTAGTTTGATGAATTTAAGAAGGGAGCAATCGTTTTCCTTAGACCAAGTTGCCGTCTGAATCGTCTCATTTTATTCATTGTTCTTATTGCACAGAAACGTATTGATTTGACTACTCTACTTGAGGAGGCTGACAGTGGGAAACTGGGACATTGGGTGGGGATAGGATTGAGGGCAGATTGCAAGATGGCTGGCTGGATGACTGGATGGAACGCAAATGAAGAATGAGCCAATCTGGGGCCAGCTAGATATTATGGGCTAGGGTGAGAAGGCAATGCCAGGCAGACAAATTACTTTATCCCAGAGGCAACAGAGAACCACTAAAGAATTCTGAGCATGGAATTTGTGCTTTAGGAAGATTATTTTGCCAGGTGTATGGAAGAAGGATGGAGAAGGGAGAGACTAGAGACAAGAATACCATTACGATGCCCCAGGAAGGAGGTGATGAGGAATCCACGCGGGCAGGCAGAAAGGATGGTGGGGAGGTAGAACAGGAATTAGTGGTGGTACCTTTAACAAAATGGGCAAGTGTGGGCGAGGAGCAGGTTTTAAGGGGAAGACAATGAGCTTTGTTTTCAACATCTTGATTTTGAGGTGCCAATGGGACATCCACATAGAGATGTCTTCCTGGCAGCTGGTAACGAGGGGACAGATCAGGGTTAATAATCACTGATATAACATGAAAGGCTTATAAAATCCTTTGGACTTTGGAGTTACCTATGTAGAGATGATACATGATCCTAAGGAACCTGATGAAATCACATGGGTAGATAGTATGTAGAGAGAAAAAACACCCAGGATTAGGGGATGGAAGATACAGTCAGCAAAAGAGACCAAATAAACTGATTCACAAAGGGAATTCATTGAAATGGAATTAAAATATCAGCTCTTTGTCTTTGGGCCACGTTGTATTCTTAGTCATTTACCTTTCAAATACTTGAAAACAGCTATCATGTCTTCTCTTTCCACAGTCTCTTCAAGCGATCTTCACATGGTGGGCTCCCAGAGACCTTCCCTAACCTGGTTGTCCTGCAGCTAATTAAAGTCCTTAACATGTGGCCTCCAGAACTGAACACAATATTTTGTATGTAGGCTGATCAGAGCTGAGGACAACAGGGTCCTTCCCTTCCTTAGTCCAGCCTAGGATTCACAGAAAAGCCAGGTGGGTCCTGGGAGTCCAAGGAGGGTCAAGAGGGATTGGCGGGGGTGGGTGGACAGAAGGGACAAATGCTGATGTCACTGAAGCCAAAGTCTGCAGCCTTCCAAATTGAGTAGCTGAGCTACGCATCTATGGATTCTGAGGAAAAGGTGCTTCCTGAGCAATGAAGGCCACTCTGGGGAGCAGTGTTGCAACAGCCTGACCAGGAACTAGCTCTGATTGGGGAATCTCAGGACTGCATGGGCCCTGACCCTCACCTGTAAAGGACACCCCAATCTGTAATTCCCCCAAGAGAGTTTAGATTTGAACCAGAATCTCTTGTCAACTTCCCCACATAGTTGCTAGTTCTCTGGGACCAAGCAAAGAAGAGGCTAATCCTTCTTCAAATACTTGGAGACTGCTGCCATGGCCCCCCACAAAGCCTTTCCTTTTCCAAACTCAATGCTGATTCTCACACAGCAGGGCTTCCACTCCCTTCATCATCCTGGTCCTGCCACCTCTTGTCAGGGTTCTCCCTAAAAACACACACACACATACATGAGCACACACACATACACACAATCACAGATAATAAGGGATCTAGGAGGCCATCTAATGTGCCTCCCTTATTTTACAGATGAGGACACTGTAGCTCAGAAAGAAGTGAATTATCCAAGGTCACACAACTAGGGCCCAAGCCAAGAGGACTTCTAACTCCATGGAACTATGAGAGATAGGGAGCTCCTCTCATGTCTAATTCTCTTTCCAGCCCCACCCATGTACCTTCTGCCTTTGTTTCTCCTTCCTCTTATCCTCAGTGGCCTGAAGCATTTTCTCTTTCCACAAGTTGAAGAAATATGATGGGTCAGTATAGAATTTAAGGCCATCTTTCTTGTCATCTCTGAAATGGACCCAAAAGGGCATGTTAGTGAGCTCATCAACAGCTGCCATCTAGTCTGCCCCCTGTATTTTACAGAAGAACAAAATGAGGCCTAGAAAGGGTAAGAGACTTGCTTAAGGTCACACAGTTAGCTGTGATTCGGACCCACATCAGAAAGCCATGAGGCCCAGTTAAATTTGAGCTTGCTGCCTTCCAGGGACATCCCCCAAGGATAGGAAATGCCCTCTCTTGTTGGGATGATGGGAGCTTAGATCTAGAAGGCTCAGAACATATTTAACACTAGGTCTCCTGACTGCGAGGCAGTGGATGAAACCATTGTTTCAACCAACCAGACACTTCCCAACAAACCCCCAAACAACCTGCCCTCCAAAGAACATTCCTGAAAGATGGATGTTACTTGGCTTCAGCAAGAAGGCTGTGTGCTCCGCAGGGAAGCATGTTGAGATGGTAGCAGTAGTGTAGGAGAAAAAACACCGAGCTTGGAGTCAGGAAGCCTCATCTTCCCACCTACTAACTGTGTGACCTAAGGCAAGTCATTCACTTCTCTGGGTCTCAGTTTTTTCATCTGTAAAATAGGGATCATAATCCAGAGTTGTTGTGAAGATGTATTTGGTGCCTACTGTGTGCAGAGGCACTGAGGGAGATACAAAGCTCGTAACATAAACCTTATAATCATAAAAACTCTAAATCATTGCCAGCTCTTCTTTATTATCACCAGCCGCGACTGTTAACTGATAGGTGTTCTCTGGTGTGGAGGGAATCTTAGTAGTCACGCTTACATGCCCCCAGCTCTGAGCCAAGAAGTGAGGAGGAACGCTTGACCCACTAGTCAAGGTGATGAGGCCTGGGCAGGCAAAGGTCACTACCCAGGTAAGACGGCAGCTCAACATGGAGCCAAAGACAACCTCTTTCATGGCAGCAGTTCACATATTCTCAATAAGTGGGGAAAAAAGGCCAGTGAGCATTTTGCTCCCCATGACCTTGTGTGGCAGGAAGGCCAATTTTGTCTACTATCAGATGAGGAAACTGAAGCTATAAGAGATGCAGTGAGTTGCCCCAGGTTACACAGCTAAGAAAGGACTCAGCCAGGGCTCCATCAGGTGCCCCAACTCTAAGGCCGGCACTCCTGACCAAAGCCCAAGCCTCAGCAGATAGAACAGGATTCTGACTCGGGCTCCACCTGCTCTCACTCTCCAGACCTATCCTGGTCGCCAGGGGCCCTACCCTCCCTCCTACCTGTGAGCTGTGAGGATGTTGAGAGGCGGGGGCTTGTCACACCGCTGGTACATCTCCATCACAGGGTTGGGGATGGAGTTACGTGATACCACCTGCTGATTCTGGATTGTGGAGCTCCGGAAAGCCTTCCTCATGTTGATATCCTGCAGGGACATTGTGGAGCCGAGGAGCACAGGATTTAGAGTGGCAAGGGACCTTTGAGATCATCTAGTCAAGGGGTTCATGACCTGGGGTCTACAGAGTCCTCGGGGGGGGGTCTGTGAACGGATTTGGACAAGTTCATAACCTGGGCTCCACAGAGCCCTTGGGGGGGTGGCTGTGGATGGATTTGGAGGGGTTCATGAAACTGGATGAGGAAAATTTACAACCTCATATTCACCAACCTCCAGCCGCAATTGAGCATTTCCTTCAGTTATTTAAAAACATGACTCTGAGAAAGGGAAAGAAGTTCTCATCTGAGAGAAGAAGAGATTCCACCCCAGAGTGACCCCTGCTAGCTGACGGCCTCTCGTCCAGTTCCGCCCAGTCTTTGTACAGATGCCTCCCATGTCACAAACCGCATGTGGTCATGTGCCTCCCGGGCCTGCCTGCTTAGATTCTGGTTGGATAGACCCAGATACCTCAAGAGGTATCATTCTACGGATTAGATGGAAGAGCATCCAGAAGATTCCATGGCCTCTGACCTTACCGTTCCCAAAGGTTGTCCTCCTTACCTGCTTCAAGCAGCAAGAACCACATTAGGCAGGCAGTGAGGCGCTACTGACTCTGGTACCAGAGAGTAAGGAGACCTGGGTTCAAACCCCAGCTGTGTTACCTTGGGCAAGTCACTTGACCTCTCTGGGCTTCAGTTTCTTCCTCTGTAAAATTGTGGGGCATACGGTAGGTGACCCCTAAGGTCTCTTCTATCTCACCAACTATCATCTATGATGCAACTGCAGTCCCTCCTTGCAGCTAGCTGCCTGTTGGCTTTTTCACTAAGCACCCAATCCCCTTCCTGGGACTCATTTGACGATCAGTCAGGTTAAGAATCTCTAGAATTACAGCATCTGGACTCCTACTGAGCCTTAAGGAGCGAGGGGGATTTCTTTGTGCAAGGTCACATGGCACGTCAGCGTCAGACCAGTACTAGAAGCTCCTCAGCACTTTAGGGACCCTCTGAGGCTCCAGCATGGGCCCACTTCCCCTTCAGCTGCAGGCCTCCCTGGACATCTCTTCCAAATGGGGCTGATTTAGCTGGCACTAAAAAGGGCCTCTGTGGCACAGGGAGTGCTGTGATGGCTCTAGCCCTGGCTCTGCCACAGACTTTGATGCAGGGCAAATTTCCAGATCTGCAAAATGAGAGGGTTAGACAACATGACCTCTAGGGTCATCTGGCTCTCAGGTCCTTTCTGGCTTGACATTCCACAGCCTGCAGAATGGAGACAAGGCTTTAGGTCCATCTAAAGACTCAGGATGCTCCCGGCTCTTGGTGACAAGATCCCCGCTTTCTCTGGGCCTTTCTTTTCAAAGAAGCTCTTGGGAACAAAGAAAGAGTCGATAAATCCCCATTATAAAGCACCTGCCCACCCCACAGATGGAGTTCAAATCTCATTCCCTGCCAGCACATTTGTTCTTGCCCTCAAGCAGTTTACATTCTATTAGGGGAATAGCAACACGTATATTGATGCGCAAATACAAATATATTCAAGATAAAGTAATTTTGGAGTACAGTTGGTGCTGTTCCCCCTTCATTGTCTAAGACGCCCATTACATCCCAATGTTGGTGTCCGTGTGTCCAGCTGGGGCTGATCAGTCCAACATGAGCCCAGAAGATTCTACCACAGGTTGGGCACAAGCAGTCTGTTAGAACATTTTCAATGGAGATGTCTCTGGATTTGTGCAACTCACATTTCCTCTGTGCTACTGGGATTCTGCTTTGCTCACAGAGCACAGCGTCTTCTTTGATGCGGGCACACCATGCTGGGCAGTCCTATGCCAGTGTCTCCCATGTCTCACAACCGATTCCAAAGTTCTTCAGAGAGACCCTGAGAGTGTCTTTGTATGACTTCTCACCACCATGTGAGACACTTGTCTTGTGTGAGCTCTCTGTAAAACAGTCTTTTAGACAAGTGTCTGTTTGGCATTCGAACAATGTGACCAGCCCATCAGAGTTATGCTCAGCAGTTCAGCTGGAGAAAGGACCTCAGTGTCCAGTACCTTATCCAGCCAGGCACAGTAGACGCACCCATTGCCAGAGCAAGCTCAGTGTTTGGGAGGCTCCAAAGGAAAGTGTGGGGGAGAAAAGGTATTAGACTGACTACCAAACTGAAGGTCTACAGAGCTGTTGTGCTGACCTCATTGTTGTATGCCTGTGAAACCTGGACAGTCTACTAGCGCCATGCCAGGAAATGGAACGGCTTCCACTTAAGTTGTCAGGAAGATTCTGAACATCACCTGGCATGATAAGGAGGGAGCAAAGGACTCCAAAAGGTGAAGGTGAGGAAGGGGAATATATTTCAGGAACAGGCAACAACCTGGGCAAAGTCACAGAGTTGGGAAATGGGGAATACCAAGCAAGCCAGTTTTAGGGTGACTGGAAAGACAGGTTAGTGCCAGATTGTAAATGGCTTGAAATGCCAGGGAGAAGAATTTGTATTTCCTCCTCAAGACACTTCTAGAGCAGGGGAGTGGCGTGGTTAACCTCGTGCTTCTGGAATCTCAAGTTGGCAGCCACATGGAAGAAGAACTGGCAAGGAGAGATGCCTACGGGACATACAATTAGAGAACCAAGCAGACAGCCAGAGATGCAGGGATGGAGGCCAGGAAGGAGATGGAGGCTGGCAATGTACACCTGGCAGTCACCTGCATGGAGGGCATCGAGCAAGAAGCAGCGCTCCATGGTGCCAAAGCTGCAGAAGGAACAAGGAGGAGGAAGTCCACGAAAAGGCTGAGAGCAGCTTCAGCTGAGTGGGGAGTCTAGGAGCTAGATTCCAAGGGTGTGAGGAATGGGAGGTGAGGAAGGGAACAAGTAAAAACAATTTTTTTCTAGGAGTTTGGTTATGAGAGGGAAGAGACATCTAGAACAATGACTTGAGGGAAAGCTTGGTAAATAAGGCAGGGAGCCAAGCAGATTTATTGGCAGCAGGGAAGCAGCCAGGAGATAGGGAGCAATCGAAGGTTTAAAGAGGGGTGGATGAGTGAAGGGGCCAGCTCCTGGAAGACACAGGAAAGGATGCTAATGACTCCCAAATATGTAAAAGAAGCTCACATGTCTGTAGGATTTTAAGGCCTACATAATTACTTATTCACAACAGGAAGGCAGAAAATGCATAATTATTCCCATTTTACAGATGAGGAAACTGAGAAACAGAGACTGAAGTGCCTTGCCCCAAGTCACACAGCTGGTAAGTGGCAGATTGAGGAGAGCTAATTACAGTGCTTCAGTTAGGAGTTGGAGCCTTGAGTCCTGCTTGGGCCACTTATTATCTGAGTGACCTCGGAGAAGTCATACTCCCTGCTCTGGGCTCCACTTTGCTCTTGTGTAAGTTGAGGGGGGTGCATGAGATGACCTCGGAGGCCCCTTCCTGTTCTTGTTCTAGGACATAAGGATCCTTTCACAGTATGATGCATAAAGTCTCTGACAGGCATCTTGGCCTTAGCCTTCATCCTCGGCACTAAAGCAGGGGTTCTCCTGCAGTGCCAATATTTGTAGACCTATAAGGTGGTCTTTTAAAACTATTCTCATCTCTAGAAAAGCATTATTTTATTTTTATCACCCCCTTCCCAAGCTATTTGCTCTGGCAATGGCCACTAGATGGCAAACTTGAAGTAACTGCTACTCACCAGTGCCCTCATCTGTGGAAAAACCAGCCTTCGAGTCATTGTCAAAACTCCGTGGGCCACCAGAAACCCATTCCCACCACATAATGTGCACTGCTCCCACTCACACTGCCCCATGCACATTCCTGCCCATCACCAGCCCTGAGAAGCCTAGTGTTTGCCTCTGGCGCATACATATGGAGCTCCAGCCCTCGCCCAGCTATCCCACGGGAACCAGAACACAAGTAGAAAGAAAAGCCTAAGGCTGTCTTGTAGGACCTAGGACCAATACCTGATTTCCTTTAGGCCCTAGGCAAGTAGCTGAAACAGAGCATTGCTGGCTTTCAGCACCCACCATAGGCGGAGATCATAAGAGCATTATCACAGGA